CAATTCTTTGAGGAAAAAATATCAGCTATTTCAGGCCCTTATATGATTCAAGAAGGTTTTCTTTTCAAAAATAACAAATTGTGCATTCCTAAAAGTTCAATGTGTGGTCTCTTAGTAAAAGAATCTCATGGAGGGGTTGTTGCTGGTCATTTTGGCATCAACAAAACTCTTGATATCTTGCAAGAACACTTTTATTGACCTAAGATGGCAGGTGATATTCATAATGTTGTTTCAAGATGTTTAATTTGTCATAAAGCTAAGAGTCAATTCCATCAAGGAATGTACACACCTTTGCCTGTTCTAAATCAGCCATGGGAAGATGTGAGCATGGATTTTATTATAACACTTCCCTAGGACTCAAAAGGGGAAAGATGCTATTATAGTAGTTGGTGATCATTTCTTAAAAATGGCTCATTTCATCCCTTGTAATAAATCAGATGATGCCTCTCATGTTGCTGATTTATATTTTAAAAAAGTTCTTAAGCTTCATGGAGTTCCAAAAAACCATTAAAAGTGATAGAGATTCTAAATTCTTAAGTCATTTTTGAAGATGCCTATGGAAATTATTGGGAACAAGGCTCTTGTTTAATACTGCCTACCATCCTCAAACTGATGAATAAATAGAGGTGACAAACAGGACACTCTCAACTCTTCTCAGAAGTTTGGTAGGTAAAAATCTCAAAGATTGAGATAATAAACTTCCTCATGCTAAATTTGCATATAATAGAGCTCCATCTTATGTAACAGGTAGATCTTCGTTTGAAGTAAATTATGGGATAAATCCTCTCACTCTAATTGATCTAATTCCACTTCCTATTGAGTCCCAAGTGAGTTTTGAAGCCGAACAACGTGCCAAAGAAATGAAAAAGCTCCATGAACAAGTTAAGACCAGAATTGAGAAGGTGAATGAACTGTACAAGCAAAAGACAAACAAGTATCGCAATTCTCTTTAATTCAAGCATGGTGATTTAGTATGGCTTCATCTAACGAAGGAGAGATTTCCCACAAGAAGGAAAAACAAACTTATGGCTCGTGGGAATGGTCCATTCAAAGTAATTGAGAAAGTTGGAAGTAATGCATACAAGCTAGAATTGCCTGGAGAATCCAATATTTTTGTCACTTTCAATATTAGTGATTTAACTCCATACTTGTCTGAAAATAAAGATGTTGAGGATTTGAGGACAAATCCCAATCAACGAGGGGAGAATGATGCAGAAACAACCATGACCAATCTAATTTTGAGTGGAACTAAGGAAAATTCGAGCTCCATCTTTTGCTCCCAATTTCAGATTGGCCCACAAGCAATTTTGGGCCAAATATTGCTTATTTGGGTTTCTTAATGGTTCAAGTACCTTGGAAAGCAATTATCTCAGCATTACCTCTCCAAATAAAGACTTATAAAGAAGAATTAATGGCTGCTCAAGAGAATATACGAATTTTGAAGAGTCACTATATTGAAACAAGTCATGCACTTAATATTACCACCTTTATTTTTTAGGGACTAGTTATCTTCTTGTAGTCAGCCTAGAAATTTGCTAAACTACTAAATGCTGATTTTAAATCATGTAATTTTCTTTATGTTGTAACTTTCCTTTAAAAGGGGAATCCTTGTAACTTAGAAAAGAGAATTGAATGAGAATTTCTGAAGTTGCAAGTATTTCAAAAACTTGTTAAAATCTTGTTATATTTTTCTAACTATAGACAGGTTAGTGGTGAGACAAGTGAGATCTTTATCAATTGAGAGGGTGGTTTGGCCTTTAATCTCAGTTGTGGTGGACTCCATTTCCTGATCTTGAGTGGTGTCATAGACTTTATCTCAGATCTTATCATTCGTGTATCCTCCATTTTGAAACCACATTCATCTTCGTATCTGTCACGCATCAAAGACCCAACTAAAAATAGAATGAAATTTCTCTAAAACTGAATCTATATAATATGTCTCAACCCAATGGTCAAATAAAATCTCACTAAGCTTCTCAGCCTCTACAAAATAAAAATACAAACTCTAATGTCTAGAAAATAAATAAATACTATGAAGCTCTAAAAAATAACTACAATATAATAAAATAGATAGAATCTAAGATGCAACTACATCAACCTGCAACTCTCCGAGCGCCTGACTCGCCGCCTGAAAAGAGGGGAAACAACGAGCGTCAAAGCGCTAGTGAGATAATCTCCACCGCCCCTGGAAGGGTAGGAGTATATAAGAAAATACTGATAGTACATTTAGATATAAAATCATCTATACTACACTAAGTGGAAATTAGAATTTAGAAACCCACAACACGAGAATTAGTACGTCGAGCAAAATAATCCAAACAAAAAAACCCTTATGTATATACCATGTCTCAAATTGTGAATCGCTAAATACCAATTCTAATCCTATAAATGAAAAAAACAACACATACCAAAAAATACTACGACTCCAAACCTCAACCATGATGAATTAATGTCAAAATCTTAGACTACCCTCAGGTAGTTAGCGCAGTCATACGGAAAATATCATCCAACATAAACATCTCCGTAGATCATGTCATGTATGTCAAGTATCCATAAATATACCCTACTCTTGGGTAATCTAACATGGGATCAACACTACAACTATATATCCTAAAAACTAAAAACCTATTTATTGCACTAAATGCCATTAAAGAGTGCAATAAATGCCATTATTATACTGAGTACAATAAATAGGGGCAACAAACAACTGGATTGAATCCAGATTCACTAGATTAAATCCAGATTCAATCCAACGAATCCAGTTCCACCTCACATAACTAAATCTGGATTCATTGCAGTGAATCGAGATTCACTACAGTGAATCTCGATTTACTCCAGTGAATCTGGATTCACTATAGTGAATCTAGATTCACTCATATATAGGGTGAGGAGTGAATCTGGATTCACTATAGTGAATCTAGATTCACTCATATATACGGTGAGGATTTCCAGTTGAAAAACGAAGACATATGAGTGAATCTCGATTCACTGTAGTGAATCCAGATTCAGTTATGTGAGGTGTTTGTTTTTTGAAGAATAATGACATTTATTGCAGTGAATCCAGATTCAGTTATGTGAGGTGTTTATTTTTTGAAGAATAATGACATTTATTGCACTCTTTAATGGCAGACAAATTTATTGCACTCTTTAATAATGGCATTTATTGCCATACGAATCTGAATTCACTGGCAGTATAATTTCTAATGCTCGCACACTGTGGATGAGATAGATCCAATGACCTACAATGATTTTTTAGTTTTTAGGCTAAGTGAGGTTTTTATTAGAACTCACCCTATATATATATATATATATATATATATATATAATATAATATATATATATATATATATATATATCATATATATTTATATATATATATATATATATATATATATATATATATATATATATATATATATATATAATATATAATATATAGTGTAGTGTGTGTGTTCTCTCAAGCTTTGCATTCTCAAATTTCACACCCCAGATCATAGGCCCTAGAATCAGATCAGCTGCTGTTGCTCGTCAAAGCCGCATACACAACACACACACACACACACACACACACCACACGGGATAAGTGATTTTAAGTGACACATTTAGATTCCTCAGCCTAAGGATGGCGGCCCTAAAAATCCAGCAAACCATTCCCCTAAAATTTGTTTTCGGATGCCGCTCCTCCATGAATTGATCTACACGTTCTTAAACCAACACAGGCCAATTTTGGGTGAACGGACCGTCGTGTTTTGACAGCCTTCGTTTGAACCGCTGCAAAAAAAGTTCTATTATATCGAAAGCCGTTAAATATACGGTGAGTGGATGAACGGGTCGTCAAAAACACGCCAGGGTTGTTCACCAAATTATTAATGTGTTTGGAATTTAAGAACAGTAGATGCAAGTTCAACGTAGCGCGACATGCGGAAAAAAATTAGGGAATGATGTGTTTTTAGGCCACGTCCTTAGGTGGGAATGCTAAGGTGTCCAGCCTTATAATCACTTTTCCCATAATGTATATATATAGAGAGAGATGTGTGTGAGTTGGTGGAGATTTGTGCTTACGTTTAATGAGGCATGGTGGGAGATTGGACACAAGCGACAAGGAGGGAAAATCTCGCTCTATGACAATGATACACATTAATCTCTTCTCCTCTCTCTCTCTACTATATATATATATATATATATATAAGTATATATATTATATATATAATAATATATATATAAGAGCAGAGAGAGAGAGAGAGAGAGAGAGCAAGACTCCTATCAACTTTAAGTGGATAGGTAATAGTTGTCCACCCAAACTTTTAGCCACATCTTTATTAATATAAAAAGTCTCTTCATATCATGCAAGGATCCCTAGGCAAGATCCATGGATAAAAGTTTGGTGGACCAACTATTTCTATCGCCACTTAAGTGACAACAAAGTTTTGCACATATAATATATATATAATATATATATATATATATATGATAATTATAATTATATATAATTGTAGGTGTGTGGTTCTCTCAAAGTTTGCATTCTCAAATTTCACCCCAAATCATAGCCCTAGAATCAGAACCAGCTGCTACTGCTCGTCAAACCCTAGATTCAGCCTGCTCTCACTCATCCATGAGGGTCTCAAGTATGAGAGGCATGAAACCCTAATTTCTCGATGTAGATTGGGGGAGAGAATTTCAGGATTTTGCAAGTAACAGTACATTTTGAGAATTTTTTTAACCGTGAGAGTTATTAAGGAAGAAGGGTATTATCGTCTTTATAGATAAAATTTAACACCGTTAAGCTAATCACACGACAAATGGCTGATTTCGTTTCGTTTTGAATCTTGCCGTATTATTTAAGTGTTTTATGGGGAAAACAATAAGATAAATTAAGTGCAATTTAGCCTTCCAAAAATCCATCATTAAATCCTGGGTCGGATTCGGCCCAACACAAGTTACACACCCCTCGGACACCCCTAATTAATAAATGGAAACAAAGTTCGAATCGCCGTGGCAGTTAGTGCATCTCCTAATTAGACCTGCACCCCTAAAAAAAAAGGTACTTTATTAGAGCTGCAGCACAGAGCCCAAACCCAAATAAAAACCCTTAATTCCTTCCCCCTTTTGATCGATTTAATTCGATCCCCTGTGAATTCCTTGCCCTAATTTTGAAACGAAGACCAAGGGGATGGCGGGGATCGAATTGATCAGCGGGCTTCTTGAAAAGTCCAAGGAGCTCGATCAGCTGAGGCAAAAGCTCGAGGAGCTGCTGCAAGAGATCAACAAGATCCACAAGAAGCTGCAATCTGGTGAGAGATCAGAGATTCGCTTCATGTTTTGCGTTCCGTTCAAAATCAAAATTTGTGCTAATTTATGTACTTAAAAGTTCAAATTTTGGGGTTAATTAACCTTGAATTAATGTAATTAATGTTAACGTTGAATTTTAAGCTTTAAGTATTAGTTATACTTCCTTTGATTGCTAAAATTTTTCATAGGTCAAAAAATGAACATGGTTTACTTATCAAGCTTCAGACACGTGACTATCTGATTTCCACATTGAAAGAGTTATTCACGATACATGAATGTGGATGTCATATTTGTATATATTTACATATATGAAATTTTGAACTAAGAACTTTGGGTATTTGATGCATCATTGTCCTCAATTTAAGTCGAGCTAGCTGTACTTGAAGCTAGGTTCTTTTGACACATTCAGGTGTTGAACCTACATCAACATTTGATTAATTAAGCTTGAATTACGCCTTAGAAGCCTAGCTTAGCTGCTTCGAATTTCTTGATGGGATTCATTGTCTAAGCACTAGTTTTTAGGGAAATAACTTGGGCAAGACGAAGACTTTCTTTAAGTTCTTGGGGAATGGGGCTTACCTTATTGGTCACTAACTTCAAGCTCATGCAATGAGGGGCAACCTTCAGAACCTTTGTGTCTAGAGAAGGACGACACACCGATTTTTCCTATTCTGTAGGAAATTGTATTTCTCATAGCGCATTCTTTTACTTCTTTTCTTTAATAATGGTATGCTTCTCTGATGTTTGTTCCCTGAAGGGGTTGTCTCTCAGATTTAGCACCTGTGGTGTTGCTTGGCAGTTGAGACATTTTTGCTAGTTATTAGCACAAGGCTGATCATACCTGTCCCTACCACAATCCTTGAATGTTTTGGTTGCTCGGTCTTCATAGGCTATTTTCAATTACATTCACATATTGTGCTATTGTTGGACTAATATTACTTTTTTATGTGCAAACTTAAGCCAACAATTGTTGTCAATTTGGGAACATGAAAGAGCCAGGAATTTTCTATGTTGCACTGAGCACATTGTTTTAAAAAGCAGCCTGGGCATCCCCTAGCTGGAAGGAGTACCCAGGCCTCACAATTAGTCTTGTGCACCTCCAGTTAAATGTTGTTGGGTGCCAAACTGGTTGTGGCCACTTAAATAGTGTGAACCGTGTCAAAAATGGGGTATGTGGTCCACTTAAGCAAAGTAATTGTGTCAAAGTCAGACATCTCAGTCCAAATTAGATAAAACATTAATCACATCAAAATCCGACATCCGAATCCAAACTAGATAAAACATTCATGATTCATGCTAGCTTTTCATATCTTCAAAAAACATTTCTTTTTTTGGCATTCCCTTGCCGCCTTGCTTTTTCGTCATTAGAGTCATTATTCTGGAGTTCCGACCAACATCATCGATGTTGCCTTCAGTCACTATCAAGACTTGCAAGTTGCAAGATGATTTGTCTTTAGGCCATTATTTACATTGTCTTGTTTACAATAATAATTGCAATTCATTTCCTTGATTATCTTCTTTTTCAGGCCCCAGGGCTCACATCGCGTGAACTGGCTCATGGGCTTGGGGTGTGACATACTTCCTCTTTCTCTTTCTTTTTCATCTTTTTTCCCCATCTCTCTGTCGCTTTTGTTCTTCTTCTTTGCCCTTGACTACACTACTACATTTAAAGTGTATATAAAAGAACGCTTAGGCACCAAGTCTGCCATCACTTTCTATAATATTTGGCTGGCATAAATCAAACTCCTCACTGCAATACTTAGATGCTGCTGTGCTAATCTCCCTCGAGCTCCCTTGTAAGGATTAGGCTATAGCCTCACCTGCTTTTTAGTTTTCTTGAGCTATCACTTCTTAGCGCTGCAGTAGCCCTACCAAGTGATCTTCATGCTGTTGCATCACGTATTGGTTCTGTATGCCATCATGCCTCATCTTTGAGTTCAAGTGTCGCAAACAACTATTAGGATACCTATGAAATTGACTTAATGCATCTATCATGTCAAAACTCCTGGATTCTAGCCTTCTAGACCTTAACTCTCTAACCTATCTTATTGTCAGTTTGTTTAAAATTTTCAGGCTGTTTCCTTATCCATGAAACTAATCTTGAGGTACCTTCTTTAAAAAAAGGATTCCAATCTTCTAGTTTAGGATTTTTAGCTTTTTTCAAATTTGGCTATAAACTATTAATGGTGTAAGTTGTTGTTTGGATAATATATTTAAATTCTGCAAAAAACTCCTTCATCCACATTATTTGTGTTCGGAGTGTGGAAAGTTGTTTCTAACCCTTCAGAACATGACATACATACTCCTTTTCCTACTCAGACGATTTAAACTTATCCACGAGATGAACCCTCGTGTTCTTTTTGAAGACTTGTCGGTTGCCCTTTTTCTAGCTCCCTGTAGTTGAAGACCTCAGAATATGCCACGGCTCATACATTGAATCATATCTTTGAAGTGATAGTAAAAACTGCCACGGTCATATTTCTTTCACATCATGCAAAGGGTTAATGGTGCTTGTTCAAACTATAGATGTGTGAGTTCATTCTGTCCACTAATGGAAGTAGTCTAATTGAGAAAGTAAATCAAAAACTACGAAGCAAAAGATAGTATGGGTGTATGCCGTAATATAATCATTACGAAATCGGGACTACAAACAGAGCCTTTATTCTTACATAAGCGAACATTCTATTTAAGGATGGCTACTGTCATGCATTCTTAAACATGAAACTTTGAGGACTTTCTAGTTTTTTCCAAACAAAGGTGGTGTTGTTTTCAGGCTAGTGTCTATTTAAAATAACTGAAATTCTTCATGGATTCTTTGTGCTTCATAGTAACCCCATTTTTATGAAAAACGCTGGATAATGATGGTTATGATGATTTGGATTGATATTGTTTTCTTTGCGAGTCTGCATGTCCGACTATGACTAATAAGATATGATACAAGTACTTTAGGAAGTCCTTACCAAGAGGAGTTATGTGTTAAGAGTAAATATTGGATAATTTGGTCTTTGCTTGTCAGGGAAAGCATTTTCTCACACAATAGGTACATACCTCTAGTTCTACATACGATTGGCGTACATTCTACTGAAATATGCCTTTTACCTTTTTAAATAACTGCACCTTTAATATTTACTTTTCGAAAACTTCTGCTTAAACCATTTTGGTGAAGGAAAATCCTTCCTAATTTTATCTTATTTTGTTTACTTCATAAATTTATTATATTTTCTGCCATTAATTTACTCCAGCTCCGGAGATAGTTGAGAAATCAGGGGATTCGACATTGAAACATCTTCGACAATTATACAGTCAAGCAAAAGATTTCTCTGATAAGGAAGCAGGGTATGCTTTTACAGTACTGTTCTGTAGCTTTTCTCATCTTGGCTGATGTTAATTAAATTTGTTAGAGATCTTTCATAACCTCATCTTTCTTAGTAAAGATATCCAATTCTGTTCATTGAATTTGGTAATACGGATAAAATAAACCTAGCCTGGTCAAGCCTATTTCAACAATGTTATCATACTATGACTAAATAAGTGCTAAAATAATTACATAAATTATGTTGAGATTGTGACATTTTAATAGTTTTACCTTATATAATATGTATTTGTTGACATTCAATTTCTCCGTCAACTTTTCTGCATGATTCATAAGTCTCTCTCTCCATTTTGGAAGTTAAATTCCACCTTTATTCGTATCAACTTTGCGATGAAAGACTATACTTAATGATAATTAAGGATTTTCCCCCTCTTGAGATATACACCTCAGTAGCTGCAACATGATGCCATTTTTGAGGTCAATGTTTTTTGTCCTAATTATTTATAATTATATTGCTGTGCAACAATCAAAGTCCACTGGTTATGACAAACAGTAAAATTACTCATGTTGTCTGGTTCCGAATTTGCTTAATAGAATAAAATTAAGTTCACATCAAACTGAACCAGGCAAAGAGAATCCGTAATAACAGAAACTTTTGATTCTTTTGAGTATGAAGATGTTTACGATAGCATCAACTTCCGTCACGTGTATAAAATGCTACACAAAGATTATTTCAATAAACCTTCCAAAATTGGCATCCTATACCATGTCTGACGTGACATGCTTGTCCTTCATTTACGAAACTTACAATTTAATCCTAGATCTGTTGTAATTCTTAAATTGGCATACTATGCCATGTTGGTGGTTGTTATTCATATATGATGAGGTATGTTTCATCTTCTTTTTGCGACATGGGTATTTTTTATAACAGTTTACTCTTTAAGGTATCTTCCTATATATGAATAACAACCTCCCTCTATCCCTCTCTTCTACTTAGCAGCCAAATAAAGTACCACTTTAACACAAGTACGCTCACGCTAGTATCTTCCTATATATGAATAACAACCTCCCTGGAGAGACAGTTGAGCTAGGTTACAATTAGTCAATTAATGTATCCATAATGCGGATTAGTGTATCCATAATGCGGATAGTATCAATCCAAATTTAAAATGTGAGAAATCTACTACACAATTGAAAATCTGTACTATTAGACATGATCTACTACACAATCTATTTATAGCATCTTACATATTAGATTCTGCATAATGCTTTGATATCTGACATTCTGACCTTTATAATTATCCTTTTTCTTGACAAGGCCATTAATCACTCTGTAAGCTCTTGATTTTTTTTATTTGTTTGAATTTGGCAACAAATATTTATCATGCTGCTGATTAACTTGTCCAAGAAATTAACTGTTTTGAGTTCTGAGGTCCATCTGCGTGGCAAAGATTTTATTCTAATAGTTTTAAATTCAATCGTGTAATATTCCTTCACTCTGAAATTACACTATGATTTTCAGGGTTTCACAAGACTTGGTGATTCAGTTGGATGCTTTATTACAATCTGGGGTTTCAGCAGCACAACGGAAAAAAATAGGTCTGCTGCTGTGTGTAAAACCCATGTTTGTTCGCTTAAAATTCAGTATGACATGATTTTTGACTGATGGCAATAGATCTAGACGTGTAGTTTTATCACCTTAATGACGGATGTCACTTCAATGAGTACTCAATCATTATTTCTGAGCTGTTATGTGCAGCGTCAGGTTCAATGAAGTTTTGGATGTTGAACCTTTTGGTCTCATGAAACTTTTAAGGAAATGGACTCCTGAATATGCTGTAGAAACTAGAAAGTAGTTTTTCTTATTCCAAGAAATTGATTGCTTTACCCGAGAATAGAAATTGATTGCTTTACCCAGGAATCAAGAATCCTAGGATGAAATACAAACCTGCAATGCAAGCGCCACTACATGGTTAGGAACTCATGATATCTCTTTTTCCTTTGGCTAGAGTTGCAAAGAGCAAATCTTCATCCTTCTATTGATGGACTTAGTTATTCTTGATGATTCTTTTGAATTAGGTTATTCTTGATAATTCTTTTGAATTAGTTATTCTTGATAATTCTTTTGAATTAGTTATTCTTGATAATTCTTTTGAATTAGTTATTCTTGATAATTCTTTTGAATTAGTTATTCTTGATAATTCTTTTGAATTAGTTATTCTTGATAATTCTTTTGAATTAGTTATTCTTGATAATTCTTTTGAATTAGTTATTCTTGATAATTCTTTTGATTTTAATCCAGTTCATAGAGTTGTATTTGACAATTTTTGTGGGATTGGGCTGTGATTCAGTTTCTTTTTTCCCTCTAAATTTATTTATCTACTTACTATATTGATATTAAGTATATTCTAAGAGGAAATATGATGCAAGTTGTGGTCTACTAATGATTTGGATCTTATGCACAAGGTGTATTTGAGCTACTTCATAGTTTCAGAGGTTATTCATATCCATTTTATCTTGAGGCAAATTGTTAAAAGTAACGAGACAAGACTAATTTTCACTTTATGTAACTACTTATACAAGTCAGAACCAGTTGCAATGCAGGGATACCAGTATAGGTTCTGGTTTTAGTTTCTTTCTTGATGTCACTGATACTTGCAGTAATGTTGAGCTTCTTGTCTAGGGTGAATATACCCAAAAACTGTATGTATTGCTTTCATTGCTGGTCAATTTAAACTACTGCAGTGTCGCTAGTCAATTTAGACAGTACCAAAGTTTTTCAATGGTTAATACAATTAAAACGGTGGGAAGTGCAAAGAGGAAATGATATGCTTGATTGTGATATATGACCTTTTGTGCCTTTTATGTACTTTAAGATGAAAAGCTAGATGTTTATTTGTTAATAAATGTAGTGTGCTTGTGTGTGCACACACATATGATGAGTAAAAGCTATAGAATAAACTTAAGTGGATAGGAGCTCTAGTCCACCAACTTTTTTATTCCTTGATTTTTGCTTTGAGATTCATGCTACACATCAAGGATATCTTTGAGACGTGTGTCGATGTGTATCACATGCTAGCATGAATCTCAAAGCAAAATCAGAGGCTAAAAATGTTGGTGGATAAAAGGTTCTATCCACGTAAGTTTACAAGAGCTCTACTCTCTCTCTTTATGTATGTATGTTGTTGTGTGCGTGCGTGCGTGGATGTATGTGTGCGTGCATGCATGTATGTATGCATGCATGGTTTGATGATTATGGGGTGGCGGCTCATTTAGGATAACAGTGGTGAGGCCCACACCTTTTGATGTGACAAGTAAGGCGGGCCACATGACTATTTCTTGGTAGCTCATTTCATAATGAATTGCCACCTCATACCCATTATTTCCATATATACACATACATACTAGATAGGATGCACATGTATTGCACGTGGTTAAATATATTAGTGTTTCTTTTGGATTTTATTTCTTTACTATAATTCAGTTGCAAAATAATTTATGGCTACCATAAAATATATTGCACTAAATAATTTTAATTATTTTAAACCTCCACCTAATGATGATAGCAAAGATTCTTTCTTGCTATACCCGTATACTTCAGCGTTTTGTAGACATATATCAAACTTGCAACAACACCAATAGTAGAAATATTTCTAAAATATCACATTATGTATTACATTACAATGTTAGAACTTTGATTTATAACAACTACACCTATAGGTGATAAGTTTGCCATGTGCATCAAAGGTGCAACCTTCTCCTCAAACTCCACAAGTTGTTCCTTAGCATCTCTCAGCAACTCCTTCGCAAATCCCTTGACTTCTCTAACTCCAAAAGCTTCAGGATATATCATTTGATCCCTCACTAAGTTCTGCATTATTGAAGAAATCTAAAATATAATTGGAGAAGTTAAGATGAACTCACTGAGTGATTACGAATGAAAACAATCGTAGCTGGTTCTTTGATTCGATATGAGCTATAATAAGTAATAACAACTAAGTAGGAGGCGATACATGAGAAAATGATAATAAAATCATATGAGATTAACACTAACTATTAATGTTTATATTTTTAACACAATGATGAGTTTTCACTCTTGTAATGTGAAAGTGGTGTAAGTGGAGTAGTGTAGTTATCACTACTCTTAGTGCTAATGCATAATTAGGAAAACCAAGCTTTCCTACCAACTTTATATTATTCTTTCTTATCAACTAAACCATAACAATAATTATCTCTTAAAAACATTAAGATGAATGAAATTAAGATTTATGAATGCTTAACCAACACAACAAAGAATAAATAGAACTATAGAATAAGCCTCGTGAACAAGTAATAAATGCCTTTTAGCTACTTTCATTGAATATAGCAAATTAAACTCGACAAAACTAGATTATCATGAAAGCAATGTGTCTAAGAGGATCTAGTTAACAAAATGCTACAAACATCTTGATTTGTCAAGAATAGTTAGGGTTAATTTCGTTCATAGAAAGTTTTTCCAAAACTCCCGCGTAAAGTCCCTTTCAAATTTTATAATGAAGTAAAATCAAGAGAACGGAAAAAAACAATGTCGAATCAATACCCAATCAGTAAAAAATTTCTACAAAAGCTTTATAGAAATCCTAAATCCACATCTTAGATTGAATATCTAACCATAAACTCTAAGAAAAAACTTTCAAGTTTGACAAGGATATAAAATCAAGAGAACGGGAAAAACACTGTTGAATCAATACCCAATCAGTAAAACAAATTCTACAAAAGCTTTATAGAAATCCTAAATCCACGTCTTAGATTGAATATGTAACCATAAGCTCTAAGAAAACCCTAAACCAACAAGTCCCCTCACAATTTTTTTAAGAATAGAGCACCCAAAACAGATCAAGATCTAAGAAGAAGTAAAAAAGAAAATGAAGCACAAAACATAGATTCATTTACTGCAGTGACAACCAAAAACCTGAAACCTAGGAGAGAAATAAGCCGCTGCAAAAAAGTGGAGAAACGCTTTTGATTCCAAAGAAATAAATGTTTTTTTTTTGGGGGGGTATTTAAAATTAGAATATTTAATCAATGGTAAACATTAGTTGTGGGTATATAGTAGTGTATAGATTAGGGTGAGAATATAGTTATTAAGAATAAATGCGATTAATTTCATCCATAGAAAGTTTTCCCAAGACTCCCACTTTTAAAGGGAGTATATGTATGTATATATGTATGTGTGTATCACTGTTTTAAAAAGCCTCCACCTGGTCCGTCTAGACGTACGCCTAGGCTTAGGCGGTACATTTGGCCACCTAACTAGTGCCTAGCGCCTAGGTGGTACCTAAGCTGTCCACCTAGGTTTTGGGAGTGTTTAGGGGGCATTGTCTACTTATGTAGACTGCACCCTTTAGGCATTGATCGTGATTTTCTGTGTTACAACATCCACATCCCCCAACCTCCTTCAAACTCCTTTAACCTCCAAATATGAACACCTCCACTATCTCCTCCGACCTTCAGCAAAACTTCCTTGACAACCACTTAAATGAAAAAATAAATCCGCCTAGACACCAACCCGGCACCTAAGCTTTCTGTAACATTAATATTTACTATAAATTATTATAATTAAAAAATAAAAAAGAAAATCTCCTAGGCTCTAGGTGACGGGTCCAATGCCTTAGCCTCATGGCGCTTTCTATAACCTTGTTAGTTATTATTTTGGTTATTTAGCATTTAGGTATGCATGGTTTATTATGGATCTAGGATTGCTATCTTTTTTTTTGTAAATTTATATGAATTTAATACATATTTTTATAAATTATTATAATTAAATAATTTAAAAAATAAACAAACGCCTAGGCGTTGCCTAAGCGTACGCTTAGGCTTCTAGGTGCTGGCTCAAACGCCTAGTCCGCCTAGCACCTTCTGTAATATTGGTGTGTATATGGTTGTGGAAAATGCATAAAAGCAAAAGTTTCCATCTTCTTTTCATAATCTATGGATCATATGTAATTTTATTAACTTAGTTAAACAATGGTCTTCTCATCATATAATCTTTTAAAATAGCTGTATAAAGTTGTGGTTCTTGAGGGCTTTTGATCCATTCTGAAGTGGCTGTTTTTCAGGAAATTCTCTTGGTTCATAGAGAGCATATATTGTCACGGATGATTTTGAAAGATGCTCCTTGTTAAATATTTAGTTAACACTTGAGTAATTTGACTTTCTACTCTATGTAATTATTGACACATGTTTTCTCTGTTGTTATTGGTATTATTGCAGAAGTTAGCGAGCAGAAAAAGAAGAGGTTGAAGTCAGATGCAGATATTCCTAGATTTCCCCCTTCTGCATCTATAAGAAGCCAACTTGAACAACTTGCTAGTCTGAAGGGAGAGCAGGTGTCACAACTGAATATTTAGTTTTAGAGATTTGTTTTTATCTGAGATGCTCCGAATTTATACACTAGTCCAAACAATTGATGAATCCAAAGTTTCAGTAACTCGAAGAACATATCTTTCTCCATGTCCATATTTAACAACATAAGGGTTAACTTATTAGTAAAGATATTATAATATGAACAAACCATTAATGTTTGCATTCATATTTGATATGCGTCACAGATTGGTCCTGTAGCCTTGATGGTGAACATGACACTTCAGCACAAATGACCTCTCCTTTGACTTTCTTCTGCTTGCAGCACAGTATGACTTCCTTTCATACAAGAAATATCCACACTATATTAGGTCTGCTCTCAAAATTGTCATGTTCCCGCCCTAAATAAAAGTGAGATGGACATGTAATAATCATGAGCATTTATCAACCAGTCCACAAATTATCTGCAGATTTCTTAGATTTACCTCTAGTAGACAAAATGTGAGATATTATCTAAACTTAATTTCTGTACAAGTCAATACTTCATAGCATTTTTCAGTATAGTCCTTGGGCATTAATGAAAATAAATAGATAGTTTATCAAGTATGTAATATAATAAGGAATTGCACGTGAAGTGTGGGACACATGTTCAAGAAAGTGTATGGCGGTGTTTTCAATCAGAACATGTATTATATAATTTATGACAGGTCTGGATAAGAGTCTGCATATGTCGAAGGAGTGTCCATGGGAATTGCAGTGTCCAGTACGGTGTCGGAAGAGTGTCCTGTATGGGTACAACCTCATGATAGAAACACCCATGCTACATAGCATAAGAGTATTAATTAATACAACTTTCTGGTTCATAATGGACTAGTAAGATTTTTTAAGGCGAGACTGAGGAGCCAAAGATTATCTTGAGTTTCCATGTTCAATAGGTTTACAGCTTGCATGGTGGCATTCGTGAGAAGCCGATGTGAGCACTTTTGATAAAGAACTCTTTCTAGGTTCTTGAGGTTTCATTTTTTTCCTCTGAATAGTCTCATATTGGTATATTGAAATAGAATGTGGTTCTTTTGCAAAACGAAGGAAATGAATGATACTCGCAACTGATTATTGTGATAATTTAACGTCTTATCATTTTTCAGGTGGCAGCTAGGGTCACAGATGATGATGCTGAAAAAGATGAATGGTTTGTTGTAAAAGTTATTCATTTTGACAAGGATGCAAAAGAGTAAGGCTTTCTGTCGAATTATTGTCATCTTTTTTTTCGGTGCTGTTATAATTTTTTCCCGAATGCTCAGTGACAACACTCCCACTCTAGTATAGTAATATTTTTTTATAAATAGTAGTGGACATGGTTTCTTAAACAGAGCAAACTTATCCAATTTGTATTACCTTTGGTACACTTTATCTTCCTTTCAGATTTCCATTTGCTGAATAGTTGATGATGTAGTATGTCCTTATGTGTAAATCACCCCTTTAAAAGTTTGAGAAGATACTCTTTAGTTGGGATTTGACCATGATCCCTTCCAATTAGGTTTCATGAGTTGAACTGGTGTAGGCAATTGACAAGCTGTTTTACAAAGATTAAAAGATAGTATAACACAAGGTTTAAAATTTTGCTACCTCTTTGCAAGTATGATGTAGGTTTTACATTAAACTGGTGCAAACAAATTGTGCATGCAACCTCCAGTGGATAACATCTTCTGTTAAGACTTAAATAGTGTTACACAAACAAATTGTTCATGCAACCTCCAATGGATAACATCTTCTGTTAAGACTTAATTAAATCTTGTATGACCAGAGTCTGAAACGTGTGGTCTGAAAACCATACTTTTGACAATTAAAACATTTATTATTCATTTCAGGGTTCAACAATCGCTCTTTGCTATCAGCTGGTTAATAAAATATCCAATTAAGAAAATTATTCCAATCGATCCGAAGACTTAAACAAATTGAACACGATAAACAAAAGGTTTAAGTTTGAGGACTCCTAATTGGTGTTCCATAAGCAAACAAGAACAAGATTTAGAATATGAACAAATAGAAGACAGATTTTAGTTCTACCTCATTTGCTTGCCCTTTCTCTTTTTTATTGTGGTTACATTGTTTAGTTCTGAACATTAACAGTATATTGGTTCTCACAGAACATATATAAAGAAAGATGTAATTGTTTTCAGCAATTATTACCTAAAGTAATATTGTGCATGTTTGAGGTTAAAGCACCCTATCTGATTTCACTTTTGCAGATTTGAAGTGCTTGATGAGGAGCCAGGCGATGATGAAGAAAGCATTCAGAGGTAGCTCCTGTGTGGAAATAACATTTTTTAGAAGAATAATTTTACTTTGTTATATATGGTCATCAAAATTGGTAAGATATACATGATCAATTTTACTTGAGTTTTTCGGAAGTTGAAAGATAACATTTCAGAAGTTGAAAAATAACATTTCACCCTTCCATGACCTGAGAAGGCACATGCATCCACATGCATTTTAGGCTCATATTTCTGAAAGAGTCCTATTTTCATCTTACTCCACATGATTTCTGCTGTGTTGATGATTTCAGTGCATGCTTGCATCTATATGAGATAAAGATCATTCTCCAAATTTTGCACGTATACCGGTATACATAGATATATTAATTGGTAAAAATGCATGCATTTGGAGGTAATTGCGGAAACATCTTCTTGGGGTCCGTGCACAAAGAACTATAGTATAATGTTGTTATAAATTCATTGCAAGGGGGCACACGTGCATTGAGGAAGATGTGACCCATGAAAAAAGTTCCATTCCTGCCTATGCCCTTGCGTCAAGGCAGTGCGATAATGTTGTTTCAATGACAAGCGGTTATCTAATTGATAGTTATCACATTAAGACTTAAGGACTGTACTTTAATGAAATCTCTGGTTTTCTTTTTATTCCCTGGTGATGTTTATGCTTCATTCTTCTAATTTTCAGAAAGTACAAGCTGCCCATGTCTCGAATTATACCATTTCCAAGAAAAGGGGAACCGTCTAGTGCGCCCGATTTCCCTCCGGGGAAGCATGTTTTAGCAGTTTATCCTGGAACAACAGCTTTGTATAAAGCAACAGTAGCCAATCATCGCAAGGTAATGTTGTATTTTTGGGAACAAGTATTCTATGATGGCAACAACTATATTTATGCCATTTTCCACTGAGACATGGGGGCTGTATTGGGGGTTCAGATCCTAGGCTAACAACCTTCATTCATAAGGAAAGTGAACATCTTGGATTCACAACAGGGAATTAACTGCGGAGTAAGCTTCACCAGGAGTAGATTGAGATGATTATAAACTTGAGTTATGAGCTTAACATTAATACTCCACTGGTGAACTAGTATTGCATAACAATGGTGGTACTAGATCTTTGCCATGTTTCATGCACATTTAGTTATTTACTAAATCTAAAACATTAGTCTAATTATAGGCCTGCCTATTTATCCATATTTATCGTATAGTATCAGTTATTAACCTAACCTGGAACATTGTGAGTATAATCTCAATATTAGTTGAAATATGATTAACACAAATCCCCCCCCCCCAACCGATACCAATATTTTATTTAGTTAATTTGAATGTCCACGATATTTAGATTTCATTAGGTCATTGTGGGCCCATCAAATTACCTAGGATCCTTCTAGAACTTGGATGGTTTTGTATAGAGAGGATGGTACCTTAAACTGTAGACTATTGGGATTAATCTCAGGGAGATTTCTGAGCTTTGTACGGAGGCATTTCCTCTTCCTTTTAATGGAGGTCCTCGTGATGGCCAGCATCAGAGACCTTTTTCTGTTATATTAGCAGAAGCTTGAAACATCATTGCATCTGCTGCTACCTACACAGCTCTGTTGTTTTGTCTTCAGTTCACTAACATCTTGTTAAGGAAATTATTACAAAAGAAACTAAAGTCCTTAGCACATACCTGAGCTTTCCTACTAATTTGTCTTAAGATTTTTTTTCCCTTTTCCTTTTCCATCTCATGCCATCCTTTGACGGTGAATATTCCTACCTGACAAGCATTGATTTTATCTTTCAATTTGTTGTGTTCATTTGTTCAGATGTTTTGCTTGGATGTTTTCCACAGCATTTGCTTCATTCAATAAAATTCTGGTGAACTCTGAAAAAGAGTTTTTTTTTTTTTGGCGGGGAGGGGGTTCAGTAGGAACCATTTATGACAGATATAAAAGATCAACTTACACTGATCGATATGAAGAAGACAAATTTCTTTTCTTTCTCTTTCGCATCACTGCTGTCATTATTGACCCCATCTTAATTGCAACACATGCAGACTCAATTTTTTATGCTTGGTTTTTGTTGCTTAGATGCTATTTAAGCATGAATCTGTTGTCTAAATTTTCTAATATGGCTTCCACTTTTCATTCTTCTGGAGTGAAATTACCCTGTGATCCTGTGTCTAATATTTTAAGTATCACTTTCTCCTAAGAGAATTACTTAATGTAGTACACTTTTATTATGTATGTAGGTTCTGTACCTTTTTTGCATTAATAATGGATACCTAACTAAGCTTCTCTTTTTATGTGGTGGTGCTGGCTTGCAAATAATTTGCAAATTTGCAGAGGAAGGCTGATGAGTAAGTTATCTAACCTTGACAGAATGAGCTCTTTTTTCCCCCTTGTCACCTATGGAAGCGTTCAGTATTTTGTTGCGCACATATAAGGCCTTCTCTTTTCTCCAATATAACATGATAGTGTGCAGTATATGTACACACAAGGTCTTTTCATAGCATGGTTCATCTCAAAGTTAAACTCCTTAGGCGTTCTCTTATAATAACTGGTTATATTGCCTCAATAATTACTGGTTCACATAATTTAGTTTTAGGTTGTTTCTTCTTTTGTCCCATGTCACATGGTTGTTTGTTTGTTTCTTCGTGTATGTATGTGCATGAGACATTAAGGATCTATTTGTTACTCTGTATATATGTGTGTGTATGTGTGTGTGTACACACACACACATATCGTGCGCGCGCGCGCGCGCACACACACACACACACACACACACACACACATATATATATATATATATATATATATATATATATATATTTGTGCCACATCATTGTCAAGGAGGGAAATCCCCTCCTTGACAATGATACTCATTAATCTCATATACACACACACACACACTAGTGTGCACCACGTGCAAAGCACAATCCCTTGTTTTTTTTAAGCATCGCATTTTGAACTTGCTTTCCTATAAGTTTTAACACATTTGCTTCAATTATTGTACGCTTAAAATTAGAAATCATATCTACTCCTATATACTTAAAGAATGATCTAAGTTTTAATACATTTGATTTAGAAATCATATACATTCCTCTACACTTGAAGGAGAATCTACGGTTTAATACATTTAATTTGCTTTATTGTTTATAACACAGTAAATTACTGTAGAATGAATAGTTTCTTCAACCGCTCAGATCTGATTTACTATTTATATTACAGTAAATCACTGTTGTATGAACAGTAACTTCGAGTGAGGAGGGTAGGCTTGTATGATGTTTATGCTACAGTAATTCACTGTAGCATGAGTAGTGTTTTTTTGGATCCTCCAATAAGTATATAGGCTAGGGGGAGAAGCATATTTTTTTTTCTGCTACAGTAATCCCGATTTAACTGTTACGTTTTTAATTGCTACAGTACCCCCTCCTGTTATAGTACCTCGTGTGCTACAGTAATTTTTTTAAAAAATCTGCTTTGTTCATTTCATTTTTGCTGCAATAATAATAATACAGTAAATGTTACTGTAGTATTTACTGTAGTATGAATAGTGAATCTTGGTTTCACCCATTTATATAGAAGAGTTGATATATATAAGGGATAATAACATAACATAGTATCAAGAGTCTTAGAAACAGGGGCAACATGTTGCTAAATAACCATGCAGTTAAAAACACGTCATCAAAAAAATTCGTTCTTTAATTCTCTTTTCCATTGCAAAATTTTACTACGCTGTAAACCTAATTTCTAGCTAAATCCAGACAGTGAGATGCATATTCTATCTTGTTCTTGTTTTGTCAGTTATGTGCTCGAGTTTGATGACGACGAAGAAGATGGATCCTTGCCACAGAGAAATGTTCCATTCCACAAGGTGGTTCCACTTCCTGAGGGACATCGTCAATGAAATCTAGATCATCAGTTGCTCTTTGACTTTGTATTCTCAACTCGACGACTTCTTCACCTTGGCTTCATGTATCTATTATAATACTAAAATATGTATCTATTTCCGTTGCTGTTGTATATATGTGTATGTTGTAATGGTATTGAATGTATCTGCTTGCGCGCACAACCTAAACATTTAGTAGAAACAAGAGTGTAGTTTATATAGCATGAAGATTTTGCTCTTCGCACGTGCACCCTATTGAAAAATTGTAAAAACCTTGCTGTGAAATGCCTGTCCTCGTTCTTGCATACTTAACTTTTGCTTCTAACTATTTTGCTGGTTGCTTAAATTGGTGACTGCTTTGCTAGCGCATACTCAAAAAAAAAAAAAAGAGCAGCACTTATTTTTATCAACTAAAAATCAACCCATGACACTCAGTTCTAATCAGATCCTGGAGTCGCTGCCTGAAAAATCTCCATACAAACTACTACATCCTAGATGAGAATCTGTTTACCGAGGGAACTCAAATTTGGTGATCTCACAACCAAATTTGGTCAAAGCTTTGGTAAAGGATGTCTACTATTTTCCATATAATTGATAGAAAATTGAAATGTATACGAGTGAACGATAACAACTACTATCAGTTTGGCAATATTTCACTTCAGATAGCCACGCTCGGCCCACCGCTCACATTCTAGTGATGTACATAATGCCAGAATGAGTTGGGTGGAAATGTCAAGCTTTGTGATACTTTTCTTTTTGGATGTTCACTTCAGAGTTCAGTAAGTGGTTACCTGAACGCGTCAATGGAGCTAGTACAGTAGTTGGGCAAGCTTAATCACATGAATTAGAGCATTGCAAGAAGAATAGGATAGCAAATTGATGTATACTGGTTTTTTTTGGTCCTTACGTATGGGAATATGATGTCCATTGAACTGTCTAGTGATTCGTGCTTACTAATTAGTTGGTGCGTCAAAAGCAAATACACCAAATGATATACATCATGCTTCTTAGTCTCCACCAAAAACAATATTCAAGCCTATACATGCTTCCTTATTTCTCATTGAATTTTATTAAAAACGCAAAAATAACAATAGTTTTTGTGTAGAAATTGAAAATAAAATGCTATTGGAAATATTTATGCAAATAACATATTATTTTTACTTTTAAAAATGCAAAATTTCCTATCTCCTACATCTTCAATGATAGGGTTTGAGAGTCGTAACCTCCGTTGAACACACATAGTCATTACGCACGTTTTTTTCCAAAAAGTGCTCATGAAATAGTCGTTACGCGGAGTTCGTGCAGCCGTTACCCGTACATTTATCACGTGAAAAACATGTAAAATGAAGTTTGACTAAACAAAAAAACACGTGTGCGTGCGGCGTGGCGAGGCGTGCGTGCGTGTTATGCAAAACCCAAACAGTAAAAAGCCCAAAACACCCCTTCTTGGGGATCCTCAAAGCCCATACAGAGGACAAGCAATTTAAACCTTCAATTATTCATCTCACTAGGTAATGTGGGACTATTCATTGAAGGCAAAATTGTATTTTCTCCTCTACAAGGCCAACAGTCCACCCCCAAGGCAATATTTGATTGAAAACTCAAAATAAATAAATAAATCACAAAACAAATATAGGTTGGGCAACCTTTCGTATCGTGAATTCGGGAAATGTAGCTTTCGACTTTGAACCTTTCCTTAGTGAGTTCATCGCAACCTGAGGGACATAATGGACTAGGCCTTGAATTAGGCCCCTTGCACCAGGTATTGATGAAAACACATACAATATGCCTTCATCTATTGAGCAAAGTGTGTTAAGCGTTAAAGGTCATGCTCACAATAACCGACTCATGAGAATTTATAGGGGGTTAGCCCCCCCCCCCCTAATCGCGGTCATCACGGTTCCCCTCACGTATGTAAGTCCTCCAATGATACTACAGTTGGATATCATACCCTCCACAATACATGTGTTTAACTTATTAAGAGTAAAACTCAGTCTAATCAGTTGTATCATAAGAGCATCGTCACCATAGAGAAGGGAAAGCAACAAATGCTACTATAATGATATATGAATATATCTAGGTCGATGCTCCACACGAGTATCACTAGTCCATCTTATTTCTACCATATTGAGCCCACATTGGGACTGCATCTCCAAATAAAGGTTGGGTTCCCGTTGTCAGTGACCTCATCTATGGGTTTAACACCATCTTCCTCGATGAATCCAGAATCACACTCCTGGATAGACCCTTAGTCAAAGGGTCAGCAATATTCTTTTCAGACTTTACAAAGTCTAGAATCACAACTTTGCCTAGCAGGCGTTGTACAGATTTATATCTTATTTGAATATATATGTTAAGTTTTTTATGAACATACACTTGATTTAGAAGCTCTATAGTAGATCTAGAATCAGAGTGAATAGAAATTGGAGGAGAGGGTTTAGGGACCAAAGGAAGTTCAGAGAGTAGATCCTTTAATCATTCTGCTTCTGTACAAGTGGTATCAAGAGCAATCAATTCAGACTCCATGGTGCTCCTGACAATTACTGTTTACTTACAAGATTTCTAGGATACAGTTGCACCACAAAAAAGGAATACATATCTAAATGTAGACTTTATACTATTGGAGTCTGTGACCCAGTTGGCGTTACTATACTCTTCTATTGCATCAGGGTACCCAGTGTAAGTCAAGCAATAGTCAACTGTGTCTTTCAAGTATTTGAATACTCTAAGGCAATCTAGTGATCTATGCTAGGGTTGCTGGTTTACAGGCTCAGTCTCCCTATAACATAAGCTATATCCGGTCTAGTCCGGTTGGATTTGTACAAGAGAGATCCAATCAGCTGAGAATATTTCAGCTGGGAGACAGGTTCACCTTTATTATTCATCAAAGATATAGAAGAGTCATAAGGTGTAGAGACAGGTTTAGAGTTATGAAAATTAAATTTGATCAGCATTTTCTCAATACTATGAGAAAGACTCAGGGATATTTCTCTAGTGTCTTTAGTGATTTTCATTCTAAGTATTATGTCGGCAAGATCTAAGTCTTTTATGTTAAAGTTCTTAGAGAGATAATCATTAACCTTTAAGATTAATTAAAGAGTTATTCCAAAGATAAGGATATCATCAACATAGAGACAGAGGGTGACATGATCATTGTTTATCACTTTAGAATAGACACACTTATTGTGTTCATTCACAGTGAATCCATATTGTGCAATGACTCTGCCAAATTTCTAGTGTCATTGTTTAGGAGCTTGTTTTAGACCATACAGATATTTAACAAGTTTGCAGACTTTATTTTCCTGACCTTTGGTAATGAAGCCTTCAGGTTGGTTCATATAGATTTATTCATCTAAATCACCATTCAGAAAAACAGTCTTGATATCCATCTGATGTATGATCAGCTTATGGATAGCAGCAAAGGCTAATAATACTCGGATAGTTAAGATTCGCGCTATAGGAGAATATGTGTCGAAGTAATCGATGTCCTTTTGCTGAGTATAGCCTTTAGCTACTAATCTAGCTTTATATTTATCAATAGAACCATTAGTTTTAAGTTTCTTTTTAAATATCCACTTATAGCCATTAGGTTTATAACCTGGAGGTAAGTCGGTGAGTATCCAAGTATGATTTTCCATGATAGATTGCATTTCATTATCAATGGCTTCCTTCCAGAAAAGAGATTCAGGTGAATCTATTGCTTTCTTAAAGGAGCTTGGCTCACCTTCAACAAGAAAGGTAAAGAAATCTTCTCCAAAATCCTTTTGAATTCTACCTCTTTTACTTCATCGAGGTTCAATATCAAGAGGCTGGGAAGAACTAGAAGATGGTAAATCAGAAGGAAAAGATGATCTAGGATTTTCTGAGATTTTGGATTTGAAAGGAAATATATTTTCAAAGTAGACTGCATCTCTAGCTTCAATGATAGTGTTGTTGGATACGTCACTCATTTCAGAGTTAATGACTAGAAATCGGTTAATATTGCTATCTAGTGCACATCCAATAAATGCAGCATCAATAGTCTTAGAACGAATTTCCTCTTCTTAGGTTTGGGAATAGCTACATTAGCCAAGCAACCCCAAACCTGGAAGAAGTGCAGCCTAGAAGTTCTCCCCTTCCAATATTCATAAGGAGTTATATTAGAAGATTTGTGGGGAATTATATTAAGAATGAAACAGGCAGAAAGAAGAGCTTCACCCCAGAGATTTTTAGGTGCTCCTGAATTGAGTAATATACAGTTCATCATATCCATAAGGGTTATGTTCTTTCATTCAGCTACCTTATTAGACCGTGGTGTATAGGAAGCAGTTACCTCATGAATAATATCGTGCTCTTAGCAGTATTCAATCATTTCATTTGAGGTTTACTCCCCCACGATCAAATCTTAAAATCTTGATCTTTATATCAAGTTAGTTCTCAGATTTAACTTTATATACCTCAAACCTATCTAAAACTTTATTCTTAGTTTTGAGAAGATAGGTGTAACAATATCTGGAGTGATCGTCTATAAATGTCAAAAATTATCTCCTACCCCCTCAGGTGAGATTTCGGTTCGAGTCTCACACATCACTATGAATTAATTCGAGGGGTTCGGAGTTTCTAGTTATAGACTTGAAGGATGTTTTAGTGTGTTTCCCTTGAACACAAATCTCACACTTAGATGAGGGATCATGAGATGATTTAGGAATAAGATTCAATTTAATCATTCTCTGCAAAGTTTGAAAGTTTACATGTCCAAGTCATCCATGCCAATCATCAAAAAATTCAACAATTTGTGCAACAGGAGATTCAAGAATTTTATTAGAACTAGAATTGATTACATTAAGATTGAAAAGGCCATTACAGATAAAATATTTTCCTATGAATACATTATTCTTTGCAATCACAAATTTATTGGATTCCTTTACAATCCTAAAGCCAGCTCTAAGGAGGAGAGATTCACTGATTAAGTTTCAGCGGAGAGAAGGAACATGATGAACGCCTTGTAGATTCAGAGCTTTTCCCAGAAGTGATGATGAGCTCTATGCATCCACTTCCCATTATTTGTTTGGTGGAGTCATCTGCTAAGCATATGCTTCCTCCGCGTGATTCCTGGTAAGTTGAAAACCAAGAGCGATCATTACAAATGTGAATATTAGCTCTGGAAACTAAGTACTAATCAGTGAAAGAAGTAAGATAATTTACAAGATAGGAAGAAGAGGCTAATCTGAAGGAATTTATATTTTCTTCAATCATGTTTA